ATATTACTACTGTCAATGTCCAGTTGGTCAAAGAGCTATGGGAATGCGTGCTCATATATCAAATATACTTTATTATCTTGGCTATCATAACAATCTTCAAAACCCAGAACAGTTGTACCAAAGGGCTAAGAAGATCTGACAAATCTTGAAAAAATAGTTGTTCTCTTATGAATCTAGAATAACCAGTTTGAAAACAATCTCAAAACCTTGCATCATTTTTCTCTTCCTTTTTTTTCAAAGTCTGCCTTTCGAACACATTTCATTATCTTGCATCTTACAAAACATTATCTGTAAATGTCATTAACTGTTAAAAAGGGCGCCTAATTTTAAAAGTTGTATATAAAAAACAAAGTAACCAACAAACACAAAATCTCTGAATTCCATTGATATTGCAAAAAAGTTGTCTGGTATCTGACAACTGATTGTGCAGTAAAACGAACGTTTTGGTAGCCACATTGACAAGGAAAGAACCAGCGAATCTTTTCAAAGCGTCTTCTGCGTTGAATAAATATTCATTCCAACCAAAGTGGCTCAAATATTTTCTTCTTTTCTGTCAGTCTTCAGTCGGAATGATAAGACTAAAGAAATAGCCATGAACTCTGATGTATAGACCATATGGTCATTTGATCCCTTCTGTGAAGATATGTTTGTCGCTGATAGTGCATGACCTAATCCATCTATAAAAAGTTATAAGATACTTCTATTTTAAAATGAACACATTTTTGTCTGGAAAATAGCATTGCTCGAGATCGCTTCTGGCTGTTGATTGTTCTGTTAATATCTGATAACTCAGCATAGCAAGGTATTTTTACTTGTATACTGTAGCATAATTATGATCCCTAGTTTTGGTTGCATCACAAATGACACTTCAATGCATTGCTAATTTGACAACATGCGTCTTTTGGGGAACAACTCCAGCTTTTTGAGAATTTTAGTGGTATGCTTCTACGAAAAAAGAACCAAGAACTCATTTGAATTTCAAAGGGTGTTTTTGTTGTGATCAAGTTAAGGTCTTCACCTCACCATAAATATGTATCATAAATGTATTTCAAATTCATTTTGTATAATTTGTTCAGTATTCACTCTTTTTGAATGTATGCTTTAGCTTGTAGATAGTCACATTTTAACCATATCATTTCAATAAAAAAAACTTTGTGTAAAGTGTTTTATATATTTAGTGATACATGACATATTTGTTGGGTTACTTGTTAGGTAATAAGCAATGCTTTTTTCATTTGTTATTGTTGTTATTGTTCCAAACAAGAAATCTACAGTCTATCAAAATGCTTAAATTTACACAAAGTCAACTCTACATAGTTGCATTATCATTATGTGAGAGTTTCAACGAATTTTGCTGGTAGTTGCTAAAGGATGGGACCTCCTTAAATGTCGGCAGTCATATTTGACTTGGTTTATATTCGATTGGTTTAATTTTGTTTAATGTCATTTAATATAAACAGCTATAAGTCATTTAAGGACGTGCGTCCATGTACGTTTTGTATGCGTGCATGTGTGTGTGTGGGGGGGGG